GATTGATGGATTGATTGATTGATTGATTGATTGATTGATTGATTGATTGATTGATTGATTGGATTGATTGGATTGATTGGATTGATTGGATTGATTGGATTGATTGGATTGGTTGGATTGGTTGGATTGATTGGATTGATTGGATTGATTGGATTGATTGGATTGATTGGATTGATTGGATTGATTGGATTGATTGCTTGATTGATTGATTGATTGATTGATTGATTGATTGATTGATTGATTGATTGATTGATTGATTGATTGGATTGATTTGATTTGATTTGATTTGATTTGATTTGATTGATTTGATTGATTTGATTGATTTGATTGATTCGATTGATTGGATTGATTTGATTGATTGATTTTCTAAAATCTTTATTTAATTATTTAAATAATTATTTCATTAAATAATTATATTTTCCATTAATGATTATTATTGCTTTTCTTTATTTAAATATTTATTAATCAAATAAATATATCAAATAAATCCAATAAATACAATCAATCCAATAAATCAACTGTTTTAAATATCCTTTACCAACCCCCCCCCCCCCCCCCCCCATTTAACAAACCTTCAAATAACCCCCCTTTCATTTTTTTTTTTTTTTATTTTTTTAACCATCCAAAAAAAAAACACAAACCAAAAACCCCCCCCCAAAAAAAAAAACCCTTTATACAATCCCCCCCCCATTTTTCTTTTCCTATATCCTCTTCCCCCCCCCCCCCTAAACCCCCCCCCTGCCCCCCCTAACTCGGTGTGTGTCCCCGTTTGAATTGATTTGAATTGATTTGAGTTGATTTGCATTGATTTGAATTGATTTGAATTGATTTGAATTGACTGGATTGGATTGGATTGGATTGGATTGATTGATTTATTAATTGATTGATTGATTGGTTGGTTGGTTGGTTGGTTGGTTGGTGAATGGCTGCTTGGTTGGTTGGTTGGTTGATTGATTGATTGATTGATTGATTGACTTGATTGACTTGATTGACTTGACTTGATTTGATTTGAATTATTGATGGATTGCATTGGATTGGATTGGATTAGATTGGATTGGATACATTGATTGATTGATGTATTGATTGCGTGTTCGTCCGTTCGTTCGTGCATGCGTAGGTGCGTGTGTTCGTTCGTTCATTTGTTTGCTTGTTCGTGCGCTCGCTCGTTTGCTCGCCTGCCTGCCTGCCTGCCTGCCTGCTTGCTTGCTTGCTTGTTTGTTTGCGGCTGCTTTTGTGGTTTGTGTGGGGTGTTGCTTGTGGGAGCACCTCTGCAGCGGCGTGTCGGAGACAGTCAAGTTGCATGCTCAAGGATTTGAGAAGGTGCTTCATTTCACTGATGTTCAGTGACGAAGTTCCACCCTGAATCCGTTACCCGTGATGAGAGCAGGGCAGCGTGTGAGTTTGCACGGGGGCAGTGGGCAGGGCAAGTGAGAAGTAAGTGAGAGGCTTGGCGGAGCTTGGTGGTTGAGGGGTATGATGCACATGTGGGCATGCTTGTTGCTTAGGAGTTGCAGTTGTGTCGCTGTCGACTTGGGCGCTTGAGGACAGATGCTGAGATGAGAGTTGTGGTGCGTTCTGTGGGTTGTCGGAGTTGCTTAGTTTCATTACGGTTCATTTCTTTGATACCTGGAATGTTCGTTTTGTTTGTTGTGCTTGCTTGTTTGTTTGCTTGTTTTGCCTGCTTTCGTATGGTGTGTGTGTGTGGTGCTCGTAGTTTCACCTTTGTGTTCAGGTCTCACGACAGAAGCGTGACCAGTGGCGCATGGGCGAGACGTTGCATGCTCAAGGATTTGAGAAGGTGCTTCATTGCACTGATGTTCAGTGACGAAGTTCTACCTGAATCCGTTACCCGTGATGAGAGCAGCCTGCGAGTGAGGTTTGCAAGGACATGCAAGTGCCAAGCGTTGAGACGTTTGGGATGCAGGAATCAGGGGAAAGGAGAAGCTTGGAGGATAATTGTTGCTGAAATGAAGGTTTGCTGAGGCCTTCCTGAGTTGCGTGCTTGCAGGTTGGGTGTTTTTTTTGATGCGTCCGTGCTCAGGATGGAGGGGGCTCCTATCGCAGCACGCCCGCCTGCTCATCGGGACGAAGAGGACAGGGATTGACGCCGATGGACAAGCAGTGACAAGCAGCGATTTGACAGAAGCCTCAGTACCTGCCAGGTATGGAGCAATCTAATCTAACGGACATGGGGGCCACCCAATTCTTCCACAAAACAAGAGGGGGCTACCCAGGCTTCCGCTTTCCTCTCAGGGAAACCGCTAATGTTGGCAGGGGTTTCGATGATGACAGGACAACGCTGAGTCTAGAGCAGCAGACCACCAATTTGCAAGCTGATTTCCTGGGCATTTGCAGTGACAAGATCTGTCCTAAGCTTGGGACAGGAAACACAAGATTTGCGGCTTGGGCGGGCGACTCCTGCTCGATGCCCAAGTTTGTGAGCGTCCTGCCACATAGCCAGACAAGGGTAAAGAGCATATTTAGGCAAAACATGTTTCTTTTCTGAAGACCAAGACCTGTTCGGGGCTGAAGAGTACTGCGTACTTGGCAGTGCATGTTTCATACACCCAGCGAACAAAGCAAGGTCAATACCATCAAGGCGGCCAATTTCGCGCACCTCAACGATTTGTCACTGCTGCATTTGGCAGCGGGCTCGGTGTTTACACATCACACAGACGCATCTGATTGGTTTAGATATGCCTGGTTTCCATCAGTTGCCCAAGAGCAGATGCATCCATCGAGAGCTGATCCATCCGGGCCATCTGAAGAACTTTTTCTCTTCCAGGGCCCACGGAGCCCTGCGACTGGCAAGTGTTGCATCAATCCCAAGCACCGAGCACGGAAAGGGATGTGTTTAATGGGCTTGTCACAAAGGAAAATGTTTTGCCTGCAGGTTGCTGTGACTAATTGAAAGTTTCCTTTCTTTGGTGGCCAAAGCGTGCGCAGTTGCTATCAATGCAGAGCAAGGTTCTGCGGAGGCACTACGTGCCTATTAGTTGCCAAGAAACGCAGGAGACGGCATGGTGGCATGGTGCATCCGGCCGTCTACCAATGTAGCCCAATGAGACTGTGAGGAGTTCACGCTCTCGATCGCATCCTTCTCGCGCTGTTTCTGCGAGGATGTTGTTGCAAGCTGAGAGCGCTTGCCGATTTGCCACGAGCCATCCCTTCCGCATTGGTCGAGGGTACCTCTCCGGAGGTCCAGTGCAGCCTCAAGTTTTTCTTCATCATGGACTGCGAGGCTGGAGTGGCATTGGGATGAAGCGCGACATGGCGGGAAGTCAATGTGCAGACCCTTTGAACAGTCACACATATAAACGATCGGAGGTAACAAACTGGCATCCTTCGCGTGAAGCAATGCTTTTAGCTTTAGTGCTGGAAGAGGACTGTGAACGTGTGAGAAGGTTGTGTGTATAGCTTCTCAGCTTGCATGGTTTCCAATTTACCAAGGTCAACCTTCTGGTACTTGTCTCGCTCTTGGTGTCTATTGCGCAGGCGGGGCACGTCAAAAAATATACAATCTTGATCGGCTGGCGCTTGAAATAGTATCCCTGAGGCGGTCGGGTCATGCTTTTACAGCAGCACATCGGCAATGGATCTCAGGACTGAAATGAGATGGCCTGATTCACCGGTTGGCTCTCAGTTCTGACTCAATTGGCACAATTTTTCAGCTTCATTGGCGCTCAGGAGTTTAGATGAAATGTCGAACGACTGAATCGATCCTTGGGCAAACAAGTGCCCAGACAAGTCCGCATGCTGAAAAAGAGAGCGCACATCCAATTTTGAAGCTCTCGACGAGGCATGGTTCAGCATGAGCTGCTTCCAGAGATGCAGGCTCACTTTACAGCTCAGTGCCCGCGCTGCCTGACCTTCAAGCCCAGCTCAAGTTGAATGACACTGGCTTTGTACACTATCGACAATCGAGCAAAGACAATGGCAGTTGGCTATTTGTTGCTATGCCAAGCGGGCATTTGCTTGCATGCGGTGTACATGATTCATACGAGCGGCGTGCTCGCCTTAGTTCGCTTGATTGATTTGGTCTGTTTTTAGGGGACCGTGGGGACTGGCTTTCTTTTGGCTTGCCTCACACACACACACACACACACACGCCGCGCACGCGCACGCGCACGCGCACGCGCACGCGCACGCGCACGCGCACGCGCACGCGCACGCGCACGCGCACGCGCACGCGCACAGACACGCGCACAGACACGCGCACGCGGCTTCTAACGCGCACGCGCACGCGCCGTCGCGCACTAGCGCGACGCACTCCCGCACACACCGCACACCCGCCCCCACACACACACACCGACTAAACCCGCACACATACACACAAATACACACACACACAAATACACACACACAAATACACACACAAATACACACACACACAAATACACACACACAAATACACACACAAATGCACACAAATGCACACACACAAATACACACACAAATACAAACACAAATGCACACACACACACACAAATACACACACAAATGCACACACACAAATACGCACACACAAATACACACACACACACAAATGCACACACACATACACACACACAAATACACATACATACACACACACACACACAAATACACACACAAATACACACAGACAAATACACACACACACACACACACAAATACACACACACACAAATACACACAAATGCACACACACACAAATACACACACAAATACAAACACAAATGCACACACACACAAATACACACACAAATACACACACACACACAAATACACACACAAATACACACACACACAAATACACACACACAAATATACACACACACACACACACGCAAATGCACACACACATGCACACACAAATACACACATACACACACAAATACAAATACACACACACACACACACACATATAATACACTCCACACACACACGCAAATTGCACCCACACAACATGACACACAAAATACCACGAACACGCACGTTTATAATTTACACAACACACACACACCGCCACAGCACACGCACACCGCATCACGCACACGCACAAGCACACGCACACGCACACGCACACGCACGTATATACGCACACGCTCACGACTTACGCCAATTGCGCCACCGCTCATTTTCGCACACGCACATTTCGCACACGCACACGCCTCACCGCTACGCGCACGCGCAACGCGCACGCGCTACGCGCACCGCGCACGCGCACGCGCTACTGCGCACGCGCTAACGCGCAGCGCACGCGCACGCGACTGCGACACGCGCTCGGTTCGCACGGCGCACGCTCACGCACCGCACACGCGCACACGCCCACGCGCACACGCACACGCACACGCACACGCACACGCACACGCACACGCACACGCACACGCACACGCACACGCACACGCACACGCACACGCACACGCACACGCACACGCACACGCACACACACACACACACTCACTCACTCACTCACTCACTCACTCACACACACACACACTCACACACACACACACTTCAACTCCCAAGGGAGGATGCTAATCGTTCGAGTACAACTGATGAGTCTCGAGTACAACTGATAAGTCTCGAGTGGGATAAGTTTCGGCTCGCGATAAACTCGGCTTCCCTCTACTTACTTCAACAGGGAACCAAGAAGCAACAGCGGTTCAGGGAGGGGACCAAAAGGACATTCACAAACATCACACTTGCAGGTACGTCCAGCTGGCCAAGCTGGATATCCCACTTCACTGGTAGCTTCGTTGGACACAGTCCCAGTGAAGTGCTGTGTCCCCCTGCGCTCAATTGTGGTGACAGGGTATTCTGCCACTCCGCGCACACACGCCCCTCTACGAGGGGCGTACACTGCCTTTTATATCCGGAAGACCAAGCGCTCAACTCCCTAGCGTCTACCAAAATGCTCACAACGGCGAGGAGAACGTGAAGTCTCACGCTCTGTGTGGTGCCGCTCAGAAGACGGGGACGTAGAGTCTCCAAGTTGAGCAGGAAATAGTCCGCGTCTGTGTCCTGCTGTTGATGGCAAGACCTTCCCGACCTTCATGCGCGCGGGGGGAGCCCAGTCCAAGTGGTCGTGCACCTCCATATTTTCACTCAGAAGGTTCTGTGTCACCTCGTTACTGCCGTTGATGACGTGCGCATCGGCAATGAAAGTGCCCCGGCTGACGTCGCGCGCAAGGAGAAAGACACTTCCGGCCATGGTGTAGAAGAGCGTGGCAGTAATGTTTGCATTTTGTAGTTCTGGACCGTGTAGCACGAGTCGATCGTTTGGGAGTGAACACGGTGAAGGGTCGTCGAGAATAGTGATCCGCTGCAGACGAGACGGCGCCTTTCAATGTGCGAGCACGTTTCTGAGTGTGCGTGCGGCGCTGAAGATGGTCTGCGCTGAGTTGGTCAGTGCTGCGCGCTGATTGTCTTGTGCGGTCAGAGGATGTAGTAGCCGGGCAGGATTCACCCCGAGAGATGACGCAGGCGATGTTCGTATTGTGGGCACAAACTGAGTGGAAGATCTCCGGCGGCGGAGGCGGTGGTGGGGGTGGAGGAAGTAGAGCAAATTGTGGTGGTGGTGGCGGTGGCGCCGGTACGCGTATCGGCCTTTCAGCTTGAACTCCCAGCGCACGATCGTGAAGTGAAGGGCCGTGATACTGCAGCCACGTCGGCTGCGCTCCATGAGTCCAGGTTATGAACGTCTGAACATTTGCTCCATCATGACTTGACCCCTCAAGACTGCATGACAAGCAAAGCAAGGCAAAAATTCCGACACAACTCACAACACGCAAGAATATTTTTACGGCGCAAGCTCTGCGGAGTTCACCGGAGTCTAGTTGCGTGCCTCAAGTTGCTGGTAGACCTTCCAGGCATGCTTGACTTCGCGATCAGGCATAAACCACAAACTACAGAAGCATCAAGACCCACAAGCAAGCAAACATGCAAACCTTACAATCACGCAACTCTGCAGGCTGATCGGCGCAGGATGGACTTTTCCAGAAGAGCAATCCAAGCAGCTGAAAACGTCATGATGAATATCACGAAAAGTCAACTGCCACAAACCGCATATTGTTGCTGCATGGGAATCGTCGAGTATGCGCCTCACCGGCAGGGCTGTCACAAGGTCATGCAGGAAACAGTCACCAGAACATCCCCACGTGGCTGGGGACCGCAATCGATGATCGAAGTTTCCACCTGCCATCTTTGGCGTGAATGCAGGCATAGTAGTGCGAAGCGGCAATGTCTGCGTACGTGCCGCCGCAATCAAATAGTGATGCTGGCGCAAGCGTGCCATTCCTCCGACGCAGAGGGGACGCGGAGAGTGGGCCCCGGCAAACTGGGCGGCAGACTTCACAGCGGCTTTATTGGAAATGAGGCTCCCTCTGCAATAGAAGCCCATCGGCGGAATCCACACATCGTTCCAGTTGGTGTACTCGTCGTTGGGAGGTGGATGCTTCTGCCATTTCGAAGGTCGGATGAGCTCCTCGTCTTTCAAGATGCCAATGGCGGAATTGATGTCGGTGTTGTGCGCCCAAAAGAACGGCAAGATCGACTGAGTGCGAAGGTTATCCGGTAGCTTGCGGCGCGGCTCAAAGGAGAACATGATCCCATAGCGATTGTTCCGAGAATCCTTTTTGCCGGGCTGGAAACGGTAGTATGTCCTCGGGGTCTTCTGGATGTACGGCCAGCACTTTTCCAGGACGCCCAACTCAACAATGAGTTGCTCAGGTAAATTGTCAACAGCGATGTCAAACTCCCGGGAGATCTCACGGATGACCTCAGCGGTCCAAGCTCCTGGGTTGCCATGCGGGAGTCTCTCTGCTGTCAGCTCCAAGACAGATCGCGCTCTGCGCTCATCCCGGATGATATTCTCACGGTGCGGCACGAGGCTCCGGTACACTGTCTCCCAAGACTGCTTCCATTTGGATGGGTCGGGAGAGACCAACTCCGCAATGCAAGGAAGGGTGTAGCACAAAACATCGTTGATACGTATGGCAATTTCCTTAACCTGACAGCCCGAGCGAAGCACGAAGTGATGGCTGCCCAGTGATGGTGCCGAAGCACGAACACGAAGCTGAATGAGGTCAACCGTGTGCGTCGGATGGTCGGTCCTGCTGTTCGAAGCGGCAGCATGGCGTCCTGGTGGCGCTGATGGCGACCGAGGTCGCCTACGGTCCTCATGACTCCGGCGACCGCTATGTGTCCATTCGCCCCAGTCATCATCATCTTCGGATTTGCCATGAGGTCCAGGGGTAAGCCTAACCCGGCGAGGCACTGCGAAGCGTGAGCGGATGTCTGTTGCCCGGTCTTGCGTCGCATGGACGGTGCGCGAGGAGCTGTGGCTCTGAACATTCCGCAGATGCACCATGCCGTGCGTCTGTACGAAAAGCTGCGCCTCATTGCCGTTGA